TTTTGCTTATACTGGCAGTGGCGGTTCGGAGCTGGGTTTCGCCATTTCTAGGTGGATAAGTCCTAGGTTTCTTCTTTCTCTCACCAATCACCATGTAGTCTTCGCTTTGGGCTCTAAATTTGGAGGCTGATGGGGGCCTGTTGAATACTGATTTTGGGATCAACAGCCTCTAATTTATTTTCTTCTTTTGGCAAAATCTAGATCTAGTAACTCCTCACATTTTTTTGCTAGATGTATTAATTTTTTTAATTTTAATTATGTAATTAATGAGAATGAAAAATGAAAGGTGATGTTTTTACTACATAGTAAATTGCAAAAGTATTATTAAAAATATTATAGAAAAATGGTTTACTATTAGAATCTGTAAAAATTTTAAAAATAATACTTTAAAATTAAGTAACTTTAATAAAATAATAAAAATTATTAAAATAACTTACTTTTTAAGATAAGAATGAGACTGTTTTGATTTTTTTCTATGGTGCAAAACGTCATGATACCTAGCAGCTTTATTATGTTTTTTTCATGGTATTTCACATTATATAGTTACATTTAGATCATATACAATTAAACAAGAACAAATTTTAAAGAAAAATAGTAAACTAACCTATCACATTTGCTAATCAAATAACATTACTTGGGCCAACATAATAATTTCAACTGTGAAGTAATTCACACAATTAATATTAATGGTTTTATGGTAGTCCATCCAACAATTTGTCACAACCTTCAAATGCCGATTATTTTGGGTATAATTGCTTAGGCTTTCCTTTGTTTGGTTAGTTATTGCTACCATGATTTTTTACTGCCACACTACCATCCATGTCAAAAGAGTTAGATAGTCTATTTTCTTTTAAAATAGTATTTTGCAATCTAAATTGTATCATATTGTACAATATTAGCCATTGGATCAAGTGGTCTTAATCATGTGACAGCCCCTATCATCCAACAACCCAGTTTATGCAGTCTAGTGATAGCTTGGACTGCAAAATTGTCAGCTTGTTTTTTTTTCAAGTAGAAAAAGAGCTCCAAGGTTTGGAAATGAAAGGCCCACCTTTTAACATAACTTGCATTTTCTTCTAACAATATTCTACTAAAATTAAAAGAAAAAAAAAAAAAAACACGTGCCATCAAGAAAACAAACAGGAGGCACACCATTGAGAAGTTTAGAACTAGAAGATTGAGGAAGTAACATATGTTTAATTCAATGGAGGGAGCTATTCTTACCTTTGCCTTTAATTCCTTTAATTGCTCCTTAAACAACTAGGCCTATAATATAAGACATAAAAAGCAAGCAAACACAATTTAAAGTACTGTCTAGGAATTGAATATAGGTAGATCCATGGCACAACGAAGAATCGAGTACCCTGGAGAAATTTGGATTAATGATATGGGGAACGTCAAGTCAAGATCCCTTACATGTAGGTAGATGGCACATCATGAAGGAGATCTTGGAGCACTTAAATTGTTAAAGTAATGTGGCTTGCAGCTCTATCTATGAGAATAACCCAACGAGGAGGCGAGTATGAGGAAATGTGGCTGTCGTATGTCTATAAGGGTCCAATGATGGTGCAAATACTCTATAAATATGCCCAAAAAGCTCTTTTGATAGTAACACAAATGCTTATTTTGCTTCAAAAGCAGAAGTCTTGTAATCATGTGTTGATTCATTAATGTAACTACTTTTACCCTAAGGGCAAAAATCTCAAGGTTGCAAACCTTTCTTGCCCTGATGTTTTTCAAGCTTTGTTCTAGCTAGCTACCAATCTCTTGAAGTTCCTCAAAAGAACATGAGCCCAATCTTTGACCCAACAGCTTCCGGTATGACATCCAAATTTCAAACTTTAGAAATCCTTTCACCTGGATGATCAAGAGAAGTAACATGACACGAGCATTAAATCAATATTGAACCTTTTAGAAACTTCCAAGAACTCAATCTTCTTAAACATATTTGCTGTTTCAATCCTCAAATGCTGCCCTTTGAAATTTTTTTCGAGGAAACTGTAAGTATTATTAACAACTGGAGGCTTGTAATTTATTATAACTCATGAAGTGAGCTGTTTGATGAGAACAATGAAGCTGTAATGTAGATTATATATAGAGAAATCCAATCCTTTGAATCACAGAATCAAGCCACAAAACTAGTTAAAACAAAATATTGCATGGATTTGATTAATGCTTGGAAAGATGTGCCCAAATTGAGGAAGTATTATAACCATATTTTGGTCTGCCCCCTTGGCAACTTGTTTAGAGGATACTAGAATAAGCACTTGGCTGAGCTTTGAAACACTTCACTTCCTAAATCATGGATTTAGAGTCCAAAACCATGATACAAACAATAAAAGCAGCGCAGACTAGCAACCAAGTTAATTTTTATTCTAAATCTAATCCACTAAAAATTAAGTATGCATCATCTATGCTTAACTCAGATTGTGTAAGGATCCTCCATTCAAACACCAAACCTTAGGATATACTTTCTTAACTATAACTGTTTCTGTTTTCTATGAACAGCAATAAATTTTGAACTGCCCTTTTCTCGGAAAAATATTCACGGAAAATTAATCTGTACAATGAAAGATGGAGGTCTAACCTGCATGTGTTGTTCCATTTCAGGCATGCAAGTTGGAATTTCTTTTGTATAGAGTATTGTTCAATGGCGTTTTCCTTGCTGAAACATTTCACAAAAAAATATTGTCATCCATTCATGTTACCAGTTTCATAAGAATGAATGAATAGAACTGAAAGGAAAGCAGATATATTCTATCAGCGAACAATTTCATTAATTAAATTAAGTAACAAGTTGGCAAACAATTTCATTAATAAACAAGTGCGCAAGCAATCAAAAATACAAAAGTTCCAGACCATCCCTAGTTACCGCAGAGCAGAATCACAAACATTACATACCTTTTTTACATAAATCAACATTACTAGGAGTACAACGGGTACTCCACCCTTCAACTTACAACCACAAGCCGTGTACATATAGAATCACATAAGCTCAAAGTTCAGCTAACATTTAAGACTAAGAGCTCAGCTAATTCAGCAAGGGCTCCAAACTTCAAATTTCCTTAGCACAAAGTCGTGGAAAAGAATACCAGTGATGTTAAGAGAACACACAACATTACACACTTGTCTCAACCCACCATCTAAGCCTAAAATATGAATGGCAAGAATGAAGATGCATCCAAGTTCACAAAATAACGGATTACAGGCATTTAATTTTATTCTAGTAAAGGAAAATTTAGTTTATTTATTTGGTTCTTTTAACTAATTCTAAACACACATAGGTAAGATTGTTCATCTGTGCTTAAGAGAGAGTCAAAATGTCTAATGCATTAAATTTTTGTTTAAGTAAAATTTCCTCTTTCCTACTTATAGTATTATTGAGTGATTATATCATTCCCATGCTTCTCACTACTAGTCTGAACACATGATTTGATCACATATACAAATTAAACAATCAAATAAAGATTATATAAATAGAGTTAGGATCCAACTTCCTACACACACTAGTTACACAAAATCTTTGATCATTTGTTTCTCCACTATAAATCGTAGAGATTTATGATAAAAAAAATGAATAAATCATAACCATTCATAATGAAAAGATGAATGTTTATTTTGTAAAAGTTGTGTATGTAACAAAATTCCAACTCATAAATATATAATAGCAAAGAGAAAAATATAAATATTTAAACTAACAATTGAAAAGCAAATGGTTAGCGATGACAAGTTGACTATAAAGAATGAAAAATCTAATAAGCCTAAGAGCATGCAGCTGAGAAAGTAAGGTAGATTTCTATGCCTTATAAAGACACATTCACAGATTCCCTCAAACACGGGCAACATTTATTTTCATTAGTCATGCACCAATGAAATTCATAGACTCACGTCTATAGGATATATCCGACTAGAAATTAATGATTTCATAACTACTTTATGCAATTTTAAACTTTTATAATAAAGATAGAAGGGTTTAACACAATTCCTAAAATATATGAGATATTACACACTATATATATCAAAAGAAAGGATGTTGATACAAATACTCTTTGATTCAATACACTCTACAACATAATCTTTTAAGAAATTATTATTTTCCAAGTTGGAATTAAAGGCAAAAAAACTTAAATTTATAGAATTTAATAGTTAAACTAGTAAGTGTCAGTGAGTGTGTCAAACTAGAGAGTGTACTAATGATTCAGACACTCTTTGGTTCAACATAGACATCAACACCCAGCCAATTCAATCATTAAAATATAATATAGGTGCAGCCACTTCAATTGATTCTCTCAATGCATAGCTATATGCATGACAATATATTTAAGTTGTTTCACCCTGAATTCCATACTAAAAAATAACAATTTTTTAATAGACATATTAGACCAAAAAATATATGCATCAATGCTGTATCAATGCCCCTTCTGAAAAAGACAAAACTAGCCTAAGATTTAATATCTAATAATTAACATATAAATTGAAATAGTGCCAAGCTAAAAACTAGAATTACAGCTTCTAGTTCCTACTAGCAAAGCTTTTGGAAACCCTAGTAGACAAGTTTGAGAAAGGCAAAATGCACCCAAATGGATTTGTTCCTGCTGCAAAGCAGATAATGAGAGTCATTCTTGATATATTTCATCCAAACAAATAAACTCAAAGACAAATAGGAAAAAAAAAAAATCAATGCAAATAGTAAGATTTCCTAATTGAACCGAGGAAGTACAGATCCACATGATAAGCATATCTGTAAAATTTATGGACCAAACTTGCAAAATCTGTTAAATGAATAGCATTTATAGTTAAAAGAAATAATCAATTGAAGAACTTTGTTTAGTATGATTAAAAAAAACATACTCTAAGCTTGAGATATCAAAAAGTCTTCCTTTTTGTGAGAGGATGATAACTACAACATCACAGGGAACAGAAGACGCTTGGAGAAGATCACTAGTCTGTTTGCTGAATTCGCGATCCTTTTCATCACAATTTTTCCTCTCACCATCTTCTTACCTCATCATCAGAGCCGAAGCCACATCAATCAGTAACTTCACCGGAGAATCAATTTTTCTATTTACTTTTTTTTTTTTTTGAAAAAATGACCCAATTACTCACCAAAATTGAGCAAAGTCCCCAGATATGTATTGAGTAGCTACGCAGTGTGTAGCTATCGCTAAAGTTTCAACCTTTGCAAAGAAAACTTACAAATTTTGAAGATATTAATAATGGCAGCCCATGAGGAAGGTTTTAAAATCTCAAAGGAAAGAGAAAAAGAAGGAAAACCCAGAAAGAAAATTGCCTAAATTTCTGGGAAAGAAAACAAGTTATCAGCCTTTGTGCAAAGAAAATAAATTTAGAAGAAATCAACAATAGCAGCCTCCCAGATAAAAGTTTCATCTTTCCAGGTACAAAGGAGGGAGGAAAAAAAAAACCCAAAATTTTCTAGGAAACCAAACAGCAACCACCCTAGAAAATTCTTGGGAACAAAGGGAGGAATCAAAGAAGGGAGATGTTCAGAGACCCTAGAAAGATGAGCAGAAACGCAGCGGATCTATTGATTTTTGATATAGCACTCTCTTTATACTTAAACCAAAAAAACCCTCATTTTCTTATATCCTCCTTTGTCTTTCCACACAAAAAGAAAGAAGAAAAAATCCAAAGCCAGTTAAAAGCTTTCTAACTAATCTCCCCAACTTGTTTTCGTAATATTGAGAAAGGAAAAATAAGAGCAGAACAGAAAAATACTAACGAATAAAGAAAATGGACAGTAAACGCCAAAAATCATAATTAATAAAAATACATAGTATTACATGTCGACATCATCGTACGATGATGTAATCAACGGACCAATGGTGTCTTGACAACGCATCATTTTGTACTACACCGACCAAGGGGAGGAGGCGACCGTGTCAGAGGCTCGCCTTGAATGGATTGGCTAAAACCATTTTTAACTTGGGCAGTTTGTTTGGGCGTAGAGAACAGTTTTATATGCCCTAATTAAATGGTTTGTATATTTTAAGAGCAATACTAGGGGCACTCGCCAATTGCACTCTACAGCCAACACTTCCACTGTCATTGGGCCACGTTATTCGCTTGCAAGAGGTTACCTTTGAAAAGCCTTATAAAAAAAAAGTAAGCTTACGTGGCCCAATAAAAAGTCATGTATTGGCTGGAGAGTGCAATTTGCGAGTGCCCCTAGCACTGTTCATATTTTAAATGATAAATAATAAAGATTATAAGTTGTTAAATATCGGATTGTATCAAAATAATTGATTTAGACCTCTTTTAATTGATAAAAAAAGTTTGGTACCCACATTATTCATCAAGATTTAAGTTTAGGAAATAAATTAAAAAGTAACTTTTTATAAATTTTTGAATTTTAATATATATGATCAACCTTTGATTAAATTAAAAAAAAAAAGATTAATCTCAAATATGCACAAATTAGCTCCGAAATATCCTACCGTCTGAACTTAAACAAAAAACATTTATTCGCTCTTTTTATCAAGTAGAAATTTGACAAGAAAATTTTTTCTTCTTCGTTCCGGGAAAAAACAAAAAAAGGAAAGGAGAAATGACGGAGGCATTATCATTGACTATCAAGAGTTTTTTCATGAAAAAAAAAACGTATAAATTAAAAATATTAATTAAAAAAAGGTAAAAATTAAGACATTATGATATTAAAAAAAAATAAAAATGTTCAATCTAAATCATATAATAAATGAGATTTAAATAATATTTATATTGTACTTCACTCATGTTATACATTTGACTAGACGTGTTAACATTTTTTAATACTAAAATGTTATAATTTTTCCCATCCTCAACACTTGCAATACCAAACAATTAATTATTTGTATATAAAAAATAATAATAGAAGATACTAAAATGAAATTAATAATATGAGGTATTAAAATGAAATGGAAGATGTGTGTGTATGGTAAATGATATAACTAAGTTAATAAAACTTTAAAAAAGTTTTGTAAATATTAATGACCTAAATAGTTTAATGATAATTTTTTTTTCGTTAAAAGTAAAAAATCTTAAATTTAAGTCACATAACATGTGAATGAGATGAAATAAAAGATAAGAAAAAGTTACTTATAATTATGCACTCAATATAAAAAAAAAAAGTTTTGTAAATTTAGAACTTACTATTACATGTGGTGAGCTAGCTAAATTTAATAGTTTTCATTTTGTAGTATATAAGTGTACATACGATATGTGACATAATTGAATTAATAAAACTTAAAAAAAGTTTTATGAATTTGGAACTTAGTATTACATATGGCAGGCTTTCTAAATCTTATAGTTTTAATTTTGTAACATGTGGCAACCTTAAAATGATTAAAATATTAATTTGGTTTCTTTATTTTTAAATTTATATCAAAATTATCCCTTAACTTTAAAAAGTATCAAAATTGTCCTTAAATTTAATTTGTAATATTAAAATTGTCTTCAAACTTTGAAGATAATATCAATTTAGTCCTTGAATTTTGAAAATAAGTACCAACTTAATTTTTAGACTTTGATTGCAACATTAGTTTAGTTTTTCAATTTTGATTATATATTAATCTAATTTATAAATAAAAATATATAATGATAACAAAACATGACTGTTTGATTTTGCATGCAATTTATATTTAAAAAACTGATTTTATAGCAAAAGAACGAGTTACATAACACTTCTATTAATAAAAGGACTTTTTTAATATTAAAAATTAAAATTCAAAGATAATTTTAATAATTTTTAAAGTAAACAGATAGTTTTAATATAAATCTAAAAGTTAAGGGGACAAATTAAAATTTAAACCGACTCAAAACTTTCATGTGTATGTGTTAATAAGGTGCGACTTTTTCCCATTTATTTATTTAACATCACTTTTTTCCACTTATTTTTAACTGGAGGAATTAGTATGTGTAATTACGTATGTTATTGGTCAAGTTAATGTAAAAATTAATTAAAATTTTAAATTTGGGCTAAGATCAAAATTCTAAACTCTTGAATGCCAAACACTTAACTTCCATTAATATATTAGTATTATAGATGCGCGGACCTCTAATTAGCAACAATTATATTAAGGATTTTTTCTTTTAATAATACCCAATTTTTTTTAACTATTAAAATATAATATAATTAAAGTTTAATTCAACTGTTTGCTACATTTTACATCCATGGCTACTTTTTTAAGTTTGTTCATTTTTAATTTCATTCATTTTTAATTTCATATCCAAAAACAATCATTTTTTAATGAGTGTATTCTATATTGTGTTGAATCGAAATATATACCAATCAGTTTCAAATTAAAATTAAGTTTTTCATTTAGTATAATTTTAGTTTTGAGTTTTTAGTTTTTATATATTTAATATATTTAGAAATCAAATTTTATCCTAAAAATTTGAATTTATTGAATTTAATTTAAATATAGTATTAATTACTAAATATATAAAAATAAAAATCAAAACTATGCTAAACCAAGTCTAAAACTCTATTTAGTATAGTTGTGCTTTTGAGATTTTGATTTTGGGTTTTAAAGATTTAAAAACTTTAGAATAAAATTAAGCAGTTTTATAAATTAATTAAGTTTAGAATTTTATATATTTATTTTAAAATTTTATAATTAATAAATTGGTAATTTTAATTTTTAATTTTGAGTTTTAATTGTTACTTTGATTGTTTGAACTTGAAAAACCAAAACTAGAA